GCAGCAAGAAAATTCTGAAAGAATCACCACTTGAAAGAGAATAATAGTTTTTTAAAAGGAAAGTTATTTATTCTTATTTCATGTAATTTGTGTGGGTTCATTTCTGAATAGACTAGTAAGCATCTATTTTGTTAAGTAATAAACTTTGTAGCACCAACTTTCATTCATAAGACTGACATCTGGGCTGAGGTTCCTCAGAAGTTATACTCAAAGAGGTCTGTTTGCTCTTGCAGAGGACCCAGGTTTATTTCCCAGTGGCCCACAAAGTGGCCCACAACCATTGTAACTCAGATTCCAGTGGATCCAGACATCCCATGGATCCAGTAGATCTGTTCTGCTCAGGTACCAGGCCAACACATGGCCCGCATACATACATGAAGTTAAACACCCATATACACAAAATAAAACTAAATCATGTTTAAAAGAAGTTAGAGACTAAATGTTTATCTAAGACAGCTCAAGTCACTGATGTGACATTCTGATTGGTCAGTCTGATTTTGAAAGTGGGGGAATTTCTGTTTTTATCTTGTCGGGCTTTTTGTCTCTGCACCCGTGTCTCCAGAATGTCTGAAAATATCATCTGAAAAAGGATTTTAAATCGTTGCTATGTAATGTTCATCATGAACCCACACAAATTACCATTCAAGGGTCTTAAAACCACATGTATTCTTACAACTAAATACTAATGGTAAAAATTGCAAATAGCCAGGTGGTGGTGCATGCCTTTAATCCCAGCATTTGGGAAGCAGAAACAGGGAGATATCTCTGAGTTGCAGGCCTGCCTAGTCTACAAAGAGAATTCCAGGACAGTAAGGGCTGTGACACAGAGAAACCTTGTCTCAAACGATGAAGAAAACACAGATAACCCAAAGAAAGAAGACACATAAGTATCTGTAATATAATTTTCAGCTGCTATGCAAATGTGTGGTTGAGATATTAAAATTTGTGGTATAAAAGTGCAGCATCACATGTATAGTTCTGAGCTCTTCTTTATACTAGGTCATTTCCTAAAAACTGTTCACTTTTTTAGTTTTTGAGATTTCTTTATTTTTATGTTATGTGTATGAGTGTTTTACCTGCATGGATGTCTGTGCACCATGTGTGTGCAGTGCTCGTGGGCATCAGTAGTGAGCATCAGATGCCCTGGAACTGGAGTTAACCAAAGGCTGTGAGTCATCACGAGGGAGCTGGGAATGAAACCTAGATCCTCTGGAAAATCAGTGAGTGTTCTTACCCACTGAGCCATCCCTCCAGGCCCCTAGTTCACTTTTGTAATTATTTCTTTTCTTTTGAGATTATACTATAACTACGACATTCCCCCATCCTTCCCTCCCTCCAAACTATCCTATATACCCTCCTAGCTCTCTTACAGGCTGCTTTCTCATTGACACTTGTTACACACATATGTCTGTATATTCACTTTAATATTATTGGAAGGAAGCCTTAAAATTTTCTTTCATTTTATTAGGTAATATCACTGCAAGAAATTATTTTATGATGCAGAGAAAAACTTTAGGCAATATAACCATGCTAAGTGAGAGAACACTAGCAGAAAGCTGATAGCTCATTTTCATTCACAGTGAGCTTGTCAACATTTTTAGAAGACATAATTTACAAGTCCTCATGGTGTTCTTTAATGATGTTTCATTGGTTGAAATAAATTTCTAGTGATTCTTCAATACTTTGGCAATGGGTTTTGTGAATATGCGACAATATCCTTTCAAAGTAGCTATTGTTGAAGCTCAGTGCTGATTTTCACTATGCAAACTTAGCTGGATTCTGTAATGGACTTTGTTTAAACTTCATTAATAATTTTCTAGGACCAGAAGACATACCCATGATAGCTCCAAACAGTAATTTGCAACCAATATACCTTCCTCCTGGTTACACATCTCAGGTATGCTAATGCGGTTTTTATTTGGTGTCTAGCACTATATTATCATCTAATATTTTTGCTATGCCAGTGTGTGATAAAAGGTTTTCAGAAATATGTATTTATTTACTTTACTGTTGTCATTTCCTTCAATTTTGCTTTTAAATAAATCTTTAACTGTAATTATTTCAAGTGATTGGCTTTAACCAAGCCTCCCTTAGATTGCCTCATAAGCGATATCTCATTGTTTACTGAATTATATCAAGGCATATCTAATAATCTTCCCTTGCTTTGTAGAGTTTGTTAATTGACCTTAAGTACCACTATAATTCTCACAGTAATGGCTTCTGAAAACGTACAATCTTTGGTCCTTAAAATGACATGGTATTTTCAACTCAGTAGTGTTTCATTCTTAAAGGCCTAAAAACACTTATATGAAATTCCTCAAATATTTACTGTGCACCTAAAATGAGCAGACAGATAACACTCATACTGAGATTAACAAAATATCCAATGGCCTTGAAAATACAGACTTGAAAAATATCTTGTTTTTCTTCTTCAAAGCCTTTGTCTTCATAGCTTATTTAGTTGTGTATATTTAGTGGTATAGATGCAGAACACACCAAACAAGTCAGTGTAATGTACATAAATTCTAAACAAAATTACTTGTAAGAAATTGCCTAATCAGATGGGAGGAGGTGAAAATTTGTAATAATAATAATGAATTGCCTAATCAAAATATGAGAGCACCTGTGCTTGCATTCAGCATTTTACTTCGAATACTTCAATAAGTAAATTCTTTAATTTATCAGACAGATTTATTTTTACAACTTTGGAATGATATATGAATCATATACATAATATTCCTTATAGTGCTGTTTATACTCACAAAGAGGTTTGAAAATGAACACATGCTTATAAATCAGTGACTACAACCTATGAGGATAATGAAGCACTTTAACAATAAGCAAAAAATGGGAAAATAGAAATGGTTCTGGTGTGTAGACCTTTGATCACAGCACTTGGGAGACAGAGGCAGGCAGATCTCTGTGAGTTCAAAACCAGCCTCGTCTACATAGTGAGGTCAAGGAAAACCAGAGCTTCATAATGAAAGACTTTCTCAAAGAGGAAGGAGGGGATAATTATAAACAAATACAGAAAAGTCTTCAAAGGTATATTGTTAAATAAAAAATGAAAGTACAGAATAGGAATAATACTACTGTGATATAATAAGAAGGAAAAAAAGCAAATTTTATAAGTATTCTTAATAAATTCACAATAGTTTCCAGTTGTAAAGCACTGAGAAAGTGAGGATTAGGAACGGTACTCTTAAATTATATGGTACACTTTAAGGTTTTGAAGTGTGCCAGAAATTACTTCCTTTAAACAGAAAGTTACCTGCAGCCAAGAATGGTGGCACACACCTTTAATCTCAGTACTCAGGAGGCAGAGGCAGGTGGATTTCTGTGAGTTTAAAGTCAGCCTGGTCTATGCAGTGAGTTCCAGAAACTTCATAATGAGCTCCTGTCTCAAAAGAAAGCAAGATACATGTGGAAAAAAAATGATCTTGCCTTCTTGATTATTGGTCCTTGATGTTATAGATTTCCAAATTAACAAGATATGGTATAAATCATAAGCATAATGATTTCTGTGGATTTTAATATGATTCTGTCTTGTGTTTTAGGTGGAGGAAGAAATTGTGCCTCAGACACTTGACTACCACATGCCCCTGACTGTTCCTGCTCAGCAGCTCTCACCCTTCATAGCGCCGCCACCGCTGACATTCCCTCAGGCCTCTCAGCTTATGTATCCCCCAGTTCACGGGGAATTCCCAATACCTTACTCCCAAGAAGCCTCTCAGCTTATGTATCCCCCAGTTCACGGGGAATTCCCAATACCTTACTTCCAAGAAGCTGCTCCGCAGCAGATGCCACCACCTCCAGCACTACCACCACCACCGCTGCGACCACCACCAGCAACATTTATATACCAGGAGCATCATGGTAATATGTGCTTTCCTTCTTTTGAAATTTTGTTTCTTTTTATATGTACAAAGGGTCTACCTGAAGCCTGTGCACTGTGTGTATAGTGCCTGCCAAACCCAGTAGAGGGCATCATATGTCCTGGGACTGGCATTAACAGGCAGTTGTTAGCTACTGTATGGGGGCTGGGAACTGAACCCAGATCACCAATGCTCTTAACCTTTGTGCCATCTCTCCACCCCAGTATGCACTCTTCTCTTTTCTTTCGTTTTTAATTTTATGTTAAATAACTTTTCCATTATCTATACCAATCCTACTTCTCACTTCCTCCCCTCCTCCCATTCCTTCTTCCTACCCCCACCCCACCCCTCATCCACTCCTCAGAGAGGGTAAGGCACATTGCTTTGAGGAAGGTCCGAGGCCCTCCCTACTATATCTAGCCTGAGCAAGGAAGCTCTCCAAAAAGAATGAGTTCCAAAAAGTCAGTACAAGCAGTAGGAACAAATCCTGGCCCCGCTACCAGTGGCCCCAAAGCCTGCTCTAGCCATAAAACGGTCACCCACATTCAGAGGACCTACTTTCATTATATGCTGGTTACTTCATCTCTGGCCAAAGTTGGTGAGCTCCCATTAGTTCAGGTAAACTAAATCATGGTCTTGACCTCTTTGCTCATATTCTCACTCCTCCCACTCTTCAACTGGACATAGGGAGCTCAGCCCACTGCTCCACTATGTCTCTCAGCCTCTGCTTCCATCATTTCCTGGATGGTGACATTTAAGATAGTTAACAGTCTGACTACAGGACAAGGCCAGTTCAGGAACCCTCTCCATTACTGCTTAGGGTCTTATATGGGGTCATACTTATGGATTCTTGGGAATTTCTCTAGGTCCAGATTTCTTGCTAGCCCCATAATGGCTCCCTCAATCAAGATATCTCTTTCCTTGCTCTCCATCTCTGTCCTTCTCCCATCTTGACTGCCCCATCCCCTCAAGTTCTCCTCGCATTCTATCCTCCTCCTTCCCTTCTTCCCTCCCTTCTACCCCACCCCCAAGCTCCCAATTTTTCCAGGATACTTTGTCTATTTCCCCTTACCAGGGTGATTTATATGTTTCACATAGGTTCTCCTTGTTATTTAGTTTTCTGGGGTCATGGACTATATCATTTGCTTTACAGCAAGAATCCACTTATGAGTGAGTACATACCTTACTCATCTCTCTGGGTCTGGGTTAACTCACTCAGGATGGTTTTTCTAGTTCCATCCTTTTGCATGAAAATTCCAAGGTGGCATTTTTTTAAACACTGAGTAGTACTCCATTGTGTAAATGTATCACATTTTCTTTATCCATGTTTCGGTTGAGGGGCATCTAGGTTTTTTTCAGGTTCTGGCTATTACAAATAATGTTGTTATTAACACTGTTGAGCAAATGTCCATGTAGTATGATTGAGCATCCTTTGGGCATATGACCAACAGTGATATTGCTGGGTCCTAAGGTAGGTTAATTCCCAATTTTCTAGAAACTGCCATACTGATTTCCCAAGCAGCAGTACCACACGAAACTAGACATGGTGGTGTTTGTGTACAAGGTCAGCGTCCTGGAGGTATAAGCAGGAGGATTAGAAGTTAAAGGTTGTCTATGCTGGAGTTTGAGGCTTGCCTAGGAAATGTGATTTTTGTCTCAAAAACGTGAGGAGGCAGAGGTGGGTAAGGAGGAGGAAGGAAAAAAGAAGGAGTATCTCAATAATAGAGAAGAGCATGAGAGAGGAAAGAAATGGGAAGTAAGGAGGTAAATATGGGCAAAGTACATCATATAGTTGTATTAAAATGTTTCCATGAAATCCGTCAGTACACTATAATGATAGGTGTCATTTGAAACAGAAAATTTTATAAAAGTGGAAAAATATGAAGGATTTTCAGTTTCTTAAAAGCAAACAGATTTGGACAGTTATTAAAGTTGAAAATAGTAGAAGATAATAGCATTTCCTTCAATGATTATATATCATGCATATATCTTAGGGCTAATGATAGGTTATGCACAAAATGCTTATAATGCCTAAAGTTTATGTCTTTTGTTTACTTTCATGAGTAAATATACTCATGAAACTGTATTTTATTAGCTTTTCTTGGTTTCTATATAGCATGGACTTGTGGCACATATTTTTCTATAAATTCAGATTGAAAAATTATTAAAAATCCTTGACTATTAATGCTATCTATTGGGAATACAAAAGGACCTGGAGAATTGTCACCATAATCATAAGATCTGGAGATTTGAAAGTGAAGTTATTATCTACAAAAATACCATATTTGTTCATATTTTTCCAGGCCTATCAGTTTATCATAAAAACATATACATAAAACATATACATAAAACTGAATATTTGGATTGAAGCAAAGTAAAAAAATAAGTAAAGCATGATTTATCAGTGTTCTTTTGATGTTTAAGTGGAAAAAGGAACTTGAAAGAATATGGTTATTATGATTACTGAATATTATCACATTATCTTTTTTAGAAACCTATACTCATGGAAGAGTAAATCATAACCAGTTTCATGAGAGGACTGTTAAAATTGGAGAATATTCAAAGAAGAAAATGAGAGATCATCAATTTGGTGAACAGAAGACTAGCTCCATGTTTAATGACACTTCTTTGCTTCTGAACAAAGTCATTGACATGTCTGGTACTTTTAGTCCTCTTTGTCCTTACACTGTGGTGGATTCTTCTCCAGGAATTCACATTAATAACAATACTTCAAGCACTTGCTCTCTGAATACTGTCTTAAGCACTTGCACCATTGACAATACTCCAAAAACCTACATTGCCAACACTCTTCCAGACATTAACACTACTGACACAATCACTAGTCCCTCTGAACATACCCCTAGCACTTCTACCTCAATCGCTACTCTTTGCTCTGACATCATTAGTAGTGCTCCAGGTCCTTCCAGAATTGCTCATGATCCAGTCACCTCTGATGAAACTCAAAAGTCATCAAATACCGAGAGTACTCCAAGCTATATTTCTGAGAGTGATCCCAACATTTTCATCTCTGAAAACACTCATATCCCCTCTTCAATTAATAATGTGTTCAGACCTTCTGGTGCTGCCAGCATTTCCAATAATACCAGGGCTAATACTGAAGATAATCATGGAACGAGAGAGAATAATGTGGAAGGTGAAGACAATAAGCAGATATCAGATGAAAAACAAAGGAAGAATCAGTCGACAAATGCAGTACTAAAAGGTAAACCCAGGAATCTACTACTGTTGTCATTGAGTATTCAAGTCAACTATTTTGGGCTCTCACTGCATTTTTAAATGCATTTCTACCATACATACTTATTTATTTAGTCTGTGTATGTATGTGAACAAGGGAGGATTAGAGGACCCAGGAATGAAGTTTTGTTGTCAATAAGCAGTGAATACTCAAGTCAAATATGTTGGACTCTAAATGCATTTTAAATAAATTTCTATTAGACATAATTATTTATTTAGCTGGTGTATGTATGTGAATGAGGGATATCAGAGGTAACTCATAGGAGTTTATTTTCTTCTTTCAGTTATGCAGGTCCCTGGACCAAATCCAGGTCATAAAGCTTGGTGGAAAGCACCATGATTCTCTAATGTCACCTTGCCAGCCCATTTTAAATATTAACATACTATTGTCTGCTTCTGCTTCCTCTGAACCTGATGATACATGTACCTCCATGGTTTTATAATTTATTTTTAATTTATTATTAGCTGACAAATAATAACCACACATTTATAAAGTACAGTGTGATTCACAAACATGTAATCTATAAATATAAAGTAGAACTAGTAAGTAAAGCTAACTAACCCCTGTCATCTCACTTACCAATCAGGAATTTTATGTTACAACATTTGAAATGCATGTGTTTTATATTGCAATATACCTTATATTAACTAGAGTCATCCTGCCATGTAATAGCTCTCAGGAATCTATTTCTCTCATATTAAAGTTTCTTCCCTTTGTTCAGCATCTACCCATTCTCTAACTTCAACCCCATTCCTGCTAATGTTTCCTTCACTCTACAAACTTCTCCATATAAGTGAGATCATGCTGTATTTATTTTTTTGGACTTGACTTATCTCATTTAGTATAATGTCTTTTGGTTTTGTATATGTTGTAGCAAATAACAGAACTCTCATGCTTCTTTTGAAAACCAATTAGTGTAAGCAAAATCATAATTAGGCTGCCTCTTAAAAAATGTGAGAAAGAATCTAGGTGCAGCGATTGTATAGTATGCGAAAGGCCCTGGATTAAATTCTCATCAACATACATATACACACACAAATACACATAGTTTAAAAGGCATCTTCTTGCAAAATTTGCATATCCTTGAATGCTTTTCTGGTTGTCTTCTAATGAAACATTGCAAATTTCAATCCTACTTAGTCTGTCTGATTTTACTTAAATTGAGGAATGTTGTAATATCCTGCTGAGTTTAACACATATTTTGATCAGATTCTTGTTTTAGTGTTTAGTGTAAGTTGTCATTAGGTCTTTGTAATTTTCATTGTGCTGGTGTATTTGAAAGGTGATAATAGACCTAACTTTTTCATCCTACTTTTGCCAATATATTATCATTATTATTGTTTGAGGTGGGATTTTTCTTAATTTTAGAAAATAATACAGAATACAGAGCACAGCCCTGCTGTTCCAACCTTGAAAAGCCTGTGGTAAGTAACTAAACTGAAGATTTTGTGTTCTTTTTACCTTTTCTCTCTTGACCCTGCACATTCACTGTGATGTTTTCTTTAATGGAAGATTCATTGGAAGCATTTACTGTGTTAAATTTTCATAATCTCCTTCAGCAAGCAATAATAACCAATGCAGCACCATTAAACATAAAATTAATAGCTAGATATTTAATCACAGTATTTCAGCACCTATTATGAGTGATACACCTAATATCAATTAAGACTGAAGAAAAGACTGTATTCAAAATTACACATTATGATTTTTAAGTATATTCCTTGCATTTCTATCATTTTAGATTTCTAATATCCAAACAAGATCTGCTACTGTTTCATGGAATCTGAACAGTACTGAAAAATGTGATCATATTAATTCTCCTGTGACATTTGAACTGGCACTATCTAGCAATGGTAAAAATGAAGTCTACAAAAGCATGTATAAGTAAGTCTTTTAAATTACTTTGTGTTATTCACTTCAAGTATATCGTATAAGCATATAATCATTGTGCCCCAACTTATCCCTAGGCTAAATTCTTCGGTTTTTTCCTAGATTCTTCCATTAGACAGGGTTAGTTTTTAGTTTAGTTTTTTTCTAATAGTTGGTTTTCAAAAAATCAAAAAAACTCATTAGATTGAAGATCTTATTTAAATATCAGATCATCCATTTTCATCTACAAGCTTCCTGGTAGACAAATTTGAACTTTAGGAGGATAAAAAAGTGAACCTCCAATTCCTCCTCATTTTTCAATTGGTACAATTTAGAAAGAAAGACCTCCACGTGATGCTGTCGTTGGGTAAACGAGTGAGATAGTTTACATGGCAGTGAAAATTCAAGCCCTGGATTCTTAATTAAGCTCTGGGAGCTGGTTATAAAAAGGAGTCTGTTAAAATAGCAAGATAAATTGAGGGGTGTGGCTCAGAAGATTGATCCAGGACTATAGAGAATACATTAGAAGATAACATGTGCACAACCAGATGTTCTAAACAGCAGTCAGCCTGAATGAAGATGCAACAGACAGAAACAAGGAAGGAAAGACATTCAGATAGAGAGAAAGGGACAATCTTATATCCATTTTTCAGCTTAGGCAGTAAGAAAGCCAGACATGGTGTACAATACTTTGAAAATCATATTAGACAATTTGATTTTCTAAAATTCTTTTTGGCCAGATACTCAAAGTAAAAAAGGGAATTTCTGTAAAGTTCCATTAATTTGATAATTATCACGTAAAATTGTGAGATTTAAGAATCACAACCCACAATCCTCTATACTAGGTAAGAGACAGGAAAATGCAAAATTAACTTGCATGGAAATCTATTTCTGGCATGTCATGCACTTTACACACATCACTAGTTCAGTACAACATCCCTTCATGGTAAAGGTCTTGAAGACAGCAGGGACACAAGGAACATACCTAAACATAATAAAGGCAATATACTGCAAGCCAACAGCTAACACCAAATATATGTGGAGGTTGCTCGTTTGTACCTGGATGCCCAGACCCAAAATAATAACACAGAAACTATATTAATTACAACATGTTTTGGCCAATAACTTAGGCATATTGCTAGCTAACTCCTATATGTTAAATTAACCCAAATTTTCCATTTTTTATACTTTACCTCAAGGCTCATGGTTTACCAGTAAGGTTCTGGGGCCTCTGTCTCCTTCGGCACCTCCATGGCATCTCTCTGACTCCACATTCTTTTCTCCTCTAGCTCAGCTTAGAATTCCCACATTGCTCTATTCTGCATTGCAAAAGCCACAAATCAGATTCTTTATTAACCAATGATAATAAAACATATTCACAGCATATAGAGGGGAATCCCACATCACCTCCCCTTTTCTATCTAAATTAAAAGGAATGTTTTAACTTTAACATAATAAAATTACATACAACAAAACAACTATCAAATAAGAATTACAATTACAATATTTATATATACTTTATCTTTTATCATAACTAAGGAAAATTATAATTCGATCTATTTTTCAACTCCATCAAAGACTACAGAAGGATATAATGTTACCTAAGTTAACAGGAAGTGCATTGTAAGCAATTTACAAAACCGTGGAATTGACAGAGACATCTCGCTGCCCCGAAAGCCACCCAAAGTTCATTGTAAAATTGGGACATCATCTTCAGCCTACAGATCTGGCTGACTTTTCTATGAAGCAGGAAATTTCACAGACAGATCTGCCTCTATTGGCAGTTTGTCAGTAACTTTTTTCTGTATCCTACAGAATATCTGGCAGACTCTTTCATGAAGCAGGAACGCTGAAGGACTGTCTCACCTTCTTTAGTCAACTTCAGCAATCATTTTTCAGTAGGTCCTGCAGGTCCAGTTTATATAGAAAACCATCAAGCAGGCAAGAGCAGTTTCTTGCCCAAATGGTTAGCCTTGTCACATTAAAGCAATTTCCATAATGAGTTTCTTCAATGCCCATCAACTTCTATAAAGAATTGGTGCTTCCAGAAGCAGACATGTCTCACTGTAGAGAAGAGTCTCAGGTCTTAAAACATTTTCAATACCATATTCCGTAATTCTTTGAAAGATTTACCTATCTATCTGAAATATATCTCTGTAAATCTAGAAAACCTAACATGACTAAAAGTTTGTTTATTATAAATGACTATCTCTTAATCTGTATTTCTTAACAATATGTTTCATTTTAAAAGAGTTGCCCAAACACAATATCTTAAACAAGAGCAGAAATATTCACATAACCAAACTGACCTTAAATTTGTATCAATAATCCAGAGTCCATATCAATGTAAAGTATTCATCTTTATGTTATAGCCCCCTTTAAATGAAAACAAAAGTTTATAAACAATATTTCAGAATTTAAACGTAGTTCTCACCAAACTGCTTCCTGCTTTTTGCTGAGCAAAGTATGGGGGGGGGGGTTCATGGATACCTATTCCATCAATCCACATTAGTCTGGAAGGAATATACAGGTTCTCAATTAACCTCTGTGGAAACAAAAGCAGAACCTCTTTTCCAAAGGAACTTATCCTTCAACCCAAATTTAGAGTCAAGGTATCTATTAAATATATATGTTGGTTTAGCTTAGTGGCCCGAACAATGAAACGTCTCTCTGTGCTTAGCTCATTCACAGTCAAAAAACTCAAAGAAAACACAATAGCATACATAATCAAGACTCTCTGTGTATTTTCCATCTTTATGTGACCTTTTTTACTCTATTGCTTTTAAATATTTACTCTCTTTACTCCTTTAATCTATATCTGTCTTAACTTTTTTTTTTTTTTTTTTGGATTTTTCGAGACAGGGTTTCTCCGTAGCTTTTGGTTCCTGTCCTGGAACTAGCTCTTGTAGACCAGGCTGGCCTCGAACTCACAGAGATCCACCTGCCTCTGCCTCCCGAGTGCTGGGATTAAAGGCGTGCACCAGCACCGCCCAGCTTGAACTCTTTTATATTAATTCTTTTTATAACTGTCTATACTCTTTGTTCTCTCTTTCCCAAGCCTATGTACACTTTTGTAATTAGTTAATTAATTAATTTTAAAAAGAAAACCAGCAATATTTTTACATTTTACATACCAATCCCAGTTTCCACTCCCTGGATTCCTCCTCTTACATGCACCTAAAACCTCTACCCCACCCACCATCCACTCCTCATAGAGGGTAAGGCACATTGCTTTGAGTAAAATCCAAGGCCTTCCTTCCTATATCTAGACTGAACAAGGTATCCATCTAAAGAGAATGAGATCTCAAAAAGCCAGTACAAGCAGTAAGGATAAATCCTGGTGCCACTTCCAGTGGCCCTACAGTCTACCCCAGCCATACAACTGTCACCCACATTCAGAGTAACTATTTTGGACCTAAGCTGTTTCTTTCTCTGTCTGGCTGGAGTTGGTGAGCTCCTATTACCTGAGGTAAACTATTTCAGTAGGTATATCCATCATAGTCTTGACCTATTTGCTCATATTTTTGCTCCTCCCACTCTTCAACTGGAATTTGGGAGCTCAGTACAGTGCTCAGATGCAGGTCTCCACCTCTGTTTACATTAGTTTCTGGATGAAGGTCTATGGTGATATTTAAGATATTCATCAGTCTGACTACAGGGAAAGGCCAGCTCAAGCATCCTCTCTTCTATTGCTTAGGGTCTTAACTGGTGTCATCCTTGTGAATTCCTGGGAATTTCTCTAGTGACAGGTTTCTTGCTAGCCCCATAATGGCTCTCTCAATCAAAATAACTCTTTCCTTGCTCTCATTTCTGTCCTTCGTCCATCTCAACTATCCCATTTCCTCAAGTTCTCTTCCTCCTCCCCTTCTCCACTAGTCTTCCCTTTCCATACACCCTACTCCCCCCACCACCACACTCCCAATTTTCTCAGGTGATCTTGTCTGCTTCCCCTTTCCAGGTGGATCTATGTATGTTTATCTTAGGGTTCACCTTGTTACTTAGCTGCTCTAGGATCATGAACTATAAAATCAATATCCTTTGCTTTACAGCTAGTATCCACTTATGATTGAGTACATACATATTCATATTTTGGGTCTGGGTTACCTCGTTCAGTATAATGTTTTTTAGTTCCATCCATTTGTATTCAAAATTCAAGATGCCATTTTTTTTACCACTTAGTAGTGCTCTAATGTGTAAATGTGCCACATTTTTTTATCCATTCTTCGGTTGACGGGCATATAGGTTGTTGCCAGGTTCTGGCTATAATAAATAATTCTGCTATGAAAATAGTTGAATAAATACTTGTACTATGATTGAGCATCTTTTAGCCCAGGAGTGATTTTGCTGGGTCTTGAGGTAGGCTGATTCCAAATTTTCTGAGAAACCGCTATACTGATTTCCAAAGTGGTTGTACAAGTTTACATTCCCACCACCCTTACTCCACATCCTCTCCAGCGTAAGCTATCATTGCTGTTTTTGATCTTAGCCATTCTGAATAGTATAAGATTGTATCTCAGAGTTGTTTTGATTTGAATATCCCTGATGGCTAAGGATGCTGACCTTTCCTTAAGTGTCTTTTGGCAATTTGAGATTCTTCTGTTGAGAAATTTAGTTTTGTACCCCATTTTTAATTGCATTATTTGGAATTTTGTTATCTAATTTCTTGAGTTCTTTATATATTTTGGATGTCAGTCCTCTGTCTGATGTGGGTTTCCCATTCAGTAGGCTGCCTTTTTGTCTTATTGACTGTTTTCTTTGCTTAACAAAAGGTTTTCAGTTTCACAATATTCCATTTATGTACTGTTGCTCTAAGTGTCTGTGTTACTGAGGTTATATTTAGGAAGTGGTCTCCTGTGTCCATGCATTGAAGGCTACTTCCCACTTTCTCTTCTATTAGGTTCAGTGAGGTTGGATTTATATGGAGGTATTTAATCCATTTGGACTTGAGTTTTGTGCATGGGAATAGATATGGATCTATTTGCATTCTTCTGTTATGCCAGCACCATTTTTTGAAGATACTTTCTTTTTTCCATTGTATATTTTTATCTTCTTTGTCAAAAATCAGGAGGTCATAGATGAGTGGATTAATATCTGCATCTTTGATTCGATTCCATTGATCAACCTCTCTGCTTTTTATGCCAATACCAAGCTGTTTTCATTACTGTCACTCTATAATAGAGTTTCATGTCAGGGACGGTGATACCTCCAGAAATTCCTTTATTGTAAAGGATTGTTTTGACTATCTGGGTTTTTTGGTTTTTCATATGAACTTAAGTATTGTTCTTTCAAGGTCTGTGAAGGATTGTGTTGGGATTTTGATAGGGATTACGTTGAATCTATAGATTGCTATTGATAGGATTGCTATTTTTATTATGTTGATCCTGTCTTTCCAAGAGCATGGGTGACCTTTCCATTTTCTGGTATCTTCTTTAATTTCTTTCTCCAAAGACTTAAAGTTTTTCTCAAACATGACTTTCCCTTCTTTGGTTAGGTTACCCCCAAGATATTTTATGTTATTTGTGGCTTTTGTGAAAGGTAATGATTCTCTAGTTTCTTTCACAACTTCTTTATCATTTGCATATGGCACAGCTACTGATTTTTTTTTAGTTGATCTTGTATTCCGTAACATTACTGAAGAGATTTGTCAGCTGTAGAAGTTCCCTAGTAGAATTTTTGGGGTCACGTATGTATACTATCATATCATCTGCAAATAATGAAAGTTTGACTTCTTCCATTCCAATCGGTAGCCCCTTGATCTCCTTTTGTTGTCTTATTGTTCTAGCCTGAACTTCAAGAACTATGTTGAATAGATATGGAGACAGTGGTGGCCTTGTCTTCTTCCTGATTTTAGTGGGATCACTTTGAGTCTGTTGTCCTATTGTTCTACCAGAACTTCAAGAACTATGATGAATATATATGGAGAGAGTGGTGGCCTTGTCTTGTTCCTGATTTTAGTGGAATCAATTTGACTTTCTTGTCATTTAATTTGATATTGGCTGTCAGCTTGCTGTATATTGTTTTCATTATGTTTAGATATGTTCCTTATATCCGTGATCTCTCCAAGACCTTTATCATAAAGGGGTGGTGGATTTTGTCAAATGCTTTTTCAGCATCTAATGAGATGATCATATGGATTTTTTCTTTCAGTTTATTTATATGAACGATTACACTGACAGATTTTCAAATGTTGAACCATCCCTGCTACTCTGGGATAAAGCCAACTTGATCATGGTGGATGATTTTTTGATGTGTTCTTGCATATGCTTTTTCAGTATTTTATTAAATATTTATTAAATTTATTTATATGGTACTTATCTGCATGTACAACTGAAGGCCAGAAGAAGGCACAGATCCCATTACAGATGCCTGTGAACCACCAAGTGGTTGCTGGGAATTGAACTCAGGACCTCTGGAACAACAGCCAATGCTCTTAAGCCCCTGACCAGTATTTTATTGAGTATTTTTGCATCAATGTTCATGGGTGAGATTGATCTGATATTTTCTTTCTTGGTTGAGTGTTTGTGCAGTATTGGTATCAAGGTAACTGTAACCTCATAAAAAGAGTTTGGCAATGTTCCTTCTGTTTCTATTATGTGGAACACTTTAAGAAGTATAGGTATTAGCTCTTCTTTGAACTTCTGGAAGAATTCTGCACTGAAACTGTCCAGCCCCAGGCTTTTATTCATTGGCAGGCTTTTGATGACAGCTTCTATTTTCTTGTAGGTAGTAAGTATATTTAAATTGTCCACCTGGTTTTCATTTAATTTTGGTATGTGGTACTTATCCAGGAAATTGTCCATTTCTTTTTAATTTTCCAATTTTGTGGAGTATATGCTTTATAGTATGACCTAATGATTCTCTGAATTTCCTCAGTATCTGTTGTTGTGTCCCCTTTTCATTTATTATTTCTGTAAATTTGGATGCTTTCTTGCTGTGGATTTGTACCACATGTTGGGCACCATTTTGTAGGTGGAGGATGCTCATTTGTTCCCAGACACTCAGATGTGAAATAATAACACAGAAAGTATATTAATTATAACACTGCTTGGCCATTCACTTAGGTATATTGCTAGCTAGCTCTTATATCTTAAATTAAACCATTTCTGTTATTTTATATTTTAACATGAGGCTTTTAGTTTACTGGTAAGGTTCCAGGGACTTAGTTTCCTTCAGCAGCTGCATGGCTTCTCTCTGACTACACATTCTTCTCTCCTCTATCTCTCCTAGGAATTCCCACCTTGTTCTATTCAGCACTGCAATAGGCCCAAAGCAGATTCTTTAGTAACCAATAGTAATAAAACAGATTCACAGCATACAGAGGGGAATCCCACATCACTAAACAGACAGAAATTCAAAGCGATACCACTGAAAACAGGAATAAGACAAGGTTGTCCACTGTCTCCATATCTATTCAATATAGTACTGGAGGTTCTACCTAGAGCAATAAAAAAAAAGGAGCCTACTAGTGACGTTATTTTGTACACATATAATGTGGTTCAAAATTATCCAAACTTCAAGGAAAACTGTTGTTCTCTATCAGTTATTCAGGTATTATGAGACTGGGACTGCTTATTAGCTGTTAAATATATATATAAGATCCCATGTAAACAAAGATTATCTTCACAGTGGTAATGAAGTTACAGTGGATCTACATGATCTCCAGCCCTGCACAGTCTACTTTTTAAGGTAAGAAGTCTGTCCTATACAACCTGCCACCAGACTGCAAGCCAGCCAAGACTCCTTAACCTTTGAGAGTTTAGTACTTAAAATTTCTGAAGTCAGGCTGGTTTTTTTTTTACCAGCAAAATGCCCTTTCCTTTTAGGTTCAAACAACCCCACCTCCAAACTCATGTAAGAAACCCTAGTTTAATTCATTAGGTTACCCTGAAAAGAAAGGCCATGAAGATAGAAAGTAGGGGACTATTGGGAGTTAGAAGGGAGCAAAAGAGCATAATGGGAAAGGAGGGGGTATAATCTTCTATGAAAATTAGAAAATGTGAGCCGTTACTATGTATAAAGAATATATGCTAACAACAGAGCAACAAACCTGTGTCTAGAAACACAATCCTGCGACTCAGTACTTGAAAGCTTATGACAATTGCTGTTACCCTTTCAGAGTTACAACCATAAGAGACACAGAGCACAGAAATGTGTCTGAAGTGGTGAGTTTCACAACTCGTGGCTGTGAACCGGACCCTCCACTTGCACCCAAACTAATTAGCAGAACCATGAACAGCCTGAACCTGCAGTGGAAAGTAAGGATTTTACTGACAAAAGTATCTCAGTGTGACTTTAAAACACTCTTTGATATCTTGAAATTTAAAGATGGATTATGCATGCTTAATCAAACTTACTTCTCTAATGCTTCTCTTCACAATGCTCTTTCTCTTCACTCTGAGAGGTCCTGCCAAGCAAATTGAGAAATGTCAATAGAACTTAGGTAATTAATAAAAAGTGAACTGCCCTTTCCAGCACTGAAATTTTGGTGGTAGTCATCACAATTATCAATAAATATATCTCTTCATTCTCTTAAGTGTCAGTTTTAATTTCTTTCCTTTAATTCAGTGTGAAAACAGAAATTATAGAATCAGTGCGTATGTTGTAGACTGTAAAACATGTGTTCTAACCTAAAATTTGAATTTTCATAAAAGCAAGTATCCAAAAATATTGTAGTAATTTATACCACATTAAATGCATACACATATGTATATAATACACAACACATATACATATGTATTATATAAAAATAACTTATCATAATTTTGCTATTCTGATCTATGCAGGATTCCAAAGATAATGGATCCAAAATAAGCAGCTTTCTTTTGGAATGGGATGAGGTATGCACATTTATTTTGATTTTATTTTTATTAAAATACTTTTTCATATGATATATGCAAATTACTATTTCCCCACCCTCAACTCCAGGTCCCCTATGTATCCCCAATGCATATATACAGACTTTCCTGTTCTTCTTAGAAAACAAGCATCTAAAATAAGAAAGAAGAAAATAATAATAAGATATATAAAAGCAAGGAAACCTGAATGGGACAAAACAAACAAATGAACAAAAGAAAAAGAGTCAAAGAAAAAGCACATAAACACATAAAGAAATAGAGATCCACGTTTGCACACCTAGAAATCTCATGAGGATCAAAAACCATAATATCTAAGCCAAAGACCCATACATATTTTTAAATGCCCAGACAAAGCATTATGAGTCACTAAAAAATCTTAAAAAATACTATTGAGTTCATTTTGCATTGGTCAACTACTGCTGGGAATAGATCCTGCCCTTAAGTGTGGTTTGGATACCCAGTGAGACTCCATGGGAGAAAATGAATTTTTCCTTTGCAAGTGCTTTTCAACTGGAGATAACTTCCAGATAAAGGATGAGAGCTTGTGTCCATTTTCCCCTCTCAGTGCAGGGACCCCATCGCGCTTAAACCTCTTGCACAGAGATCATGGAAAATCATTCACCTCATTGTGAATGATTAAGGTTATGACGAGTGTGTGCTATTAAGTGCACTATTTTAAAATATTCTAATATTTTGTGTGCATTGTCCAGGGTAAAGGTGAAGAGTTCAAAATTTGCTACAGTGGTCCCATGAAACAGCACAAGATATTTAAACTGGCCGCTTCTACGAAGTATGCATTCAGATTAGCTGCCAAAAATCACTTCGGCTCCAGGTACACTGAATTATTTTCACTATTGAAAAGTCTACAGTGCCATGAGATCCTGAAACTGGTGTTTTCACTTTAACATTTCCTTTTTAGTAATTACAGTGAAATAGCCGTCTTCTACACATCAGGAAACACACCTCCGGCACCGCTGCCTCCTAAGTTGAAAGAAGCAGGAGTCTATTGTTTGTGGCTGGAATGGTGTGCCCCAACAAACCCAAACCCAAATGACACTCTTACTTATGTCCTCGAGATGGAGGAACCAAGATCTGTAAGTGTCCTGTTTTGGGGCTATGATCTTTAGCCTCATCTTTCAATACCTTTTTATACTCACTTCTCACTTGGAGGGGGGAACAACCTTGAGTCGCTGTGTTCTGAGTGGGCTCAATGCAGAGCAACTGTTGGGCAAGTCTGCATAGGTTGCTCAACCTCAACTAGCTCAAGGCAACAGCAGCATCTCTGCACTCTGCTCGTTCTGTTCAAAGATGTAAGTTAGCATTTTCAGCTCCAGCCCTGTTCCGGCTGACTCTCTGTGGTCACAGATATCTTTCAGCACCTTTACACAATTCTGCCAAGCTGTCTACCTTCATCTCAGTTTTCTCGTGTGGGTGGGCAACTATTTCCTTCCATTTGGAGCTTTCAAATCTGTGTCAAAGAGCCGGTCAATTTAAAAAGCAGCCACAAATTACTATGTACAAGCCACAAAATGTTAAATGGAAGAGATAACAAAGAGACGTGTTCTGGGTCGTAACCAATAGGCGACTTACATGTGCTATCTCACTATGTTGTGAAAAATGGAACATTAAAAATTAAATATTATCTCCATTGTCTATTGAAACTAACTTCTCTCACACAATACATCCCTTTACAACACCACTCCTCCTAGATTCACCCGCAACACACACACACACACACACACACACACACACACACACACACACCTCCCAGATCTGCTACTCCTTCGTTTCCCTTCAAAAATGAGCAGGCCTCCAAGAGACAACAAGCGAACACAGTCAAACAAGATATAATATGACAAGGCAAAAGCCCTCATATCAGAGCTGGACAAGGTAACCCAATAGGAGGGGGAAACTCTCAAACACAGGCAAAAGAGTCAGAGATACACCCACTCCCACTATTAGGAGTCCCAAGAAAGCATCAAGCTAACAGCTATAACATATATGCAGAGGAACTGGTGCAGACCCTTTGGGGTTCAGAAAGTCTAAGGTACTTTCTCAAGATCATTAAGCTAGACAGTAAGTTGAAGCTAGAGCTTGAACCTAAGTTTCGTTCCTAAATTCCCTGTCCTCCATTTCCAGGGATTCGGTTTTAAACCTAAATACAGTGGAGAAGATCTCTCTTGCATTGTAAAAAATCTTCAGAGAAATACTACATACACGTTTCGGGTATGTGTAATAATATAATCATTGGTGTTGTGTTTTCATATAAGACTAAACTCTTTGCTGTAGTAAATGGTGGCTTTTTCTTTGAAATGAAACTTTGCTTTACATTTAATTCTTGGAAATGCTCACCCAGCTGCACATTACACATTATCAAAGCAGACGTTTATTGCCAATGTCCAACAAAATATTTTCTTTTACACAAACAGATTTTTGCCTGCAATCTGGAAGGAAGAAGCAACCCCAGCAGAGAAGTAAAATATTCTACTCGTCCAGCCAATCTTGAATACCCAAAGAAACCATATGTAGTGGGAGAAATTCAAGCACACCAAGTAAAAATTGGATGGGGTAAATAATTCTTCTATGTCTAAAATTTGTTCTCTCCATAATTACTATTGAAAAGAAATCTTTCTGCAATTGTTCTATTAATAAAATATTGTTATATGCATGTGAAATACGCTGCCATATAACTGAGTTTATATAAACCCTATTATTTTGCTAATTTGCTATTGAATTTCCTATAGCTAACTTAATTATTCACACATGAATTAACTTTTGAACTTCATATGGATCCTTAAATAACCATCTTCCAAGTAAAATTTTAGACAACATAGGTACAATAGAAAGAAGTCTGTATCACAGATAAATGTCAGCTTAACCAAAAGTTATATTTAAACACATTTATTGCCTCGACTAGATAAATTAAAGTTATTCCCATATTTTTTTTCATTTTAGTTTCTTGCCAAGAACTTTGAAATACTATCTAAATACTTGATGAGTGATATCAAATGTATGTAACTTGTACTAGGTTTGCAGATTGTAACTAGTATATAGATATACATACAACAATGTGTCATGTTTATATTTTTCTCTGTGAGAAGTTACAATTCACGAGAAAAAATGTTAGTGAAATACTTGCAAGACTTTTCTAGATCACTTAAAATTTGTTTCTCTTTTTAGACTCCCCCAAAGACAATGGTGGAATGCACATTTCAAGTTACAGTTTAGAAGTCAGTGAAAATTCAGATGGTGGTAAGGAAACATGAATTTTAAAAGATTTTATTTCTAAATAATTGGATCTTCATTTAAAATGTATAAGAAATAGCACAGCGTTCCCTAGTAAAACGTTGACTTAGCCTCACCTAATAGTAGTGTCTTATGTAACCATAGTGCACAGAAACAGAAAATCAATACAAATACACACCTATAAAACCAAACCAAAATTGGAGTCCTTTGAGTTTTGATAAGAAGTGATTACTTTCTGATCTGTTAAAACTTTTGTTTAATTCTACTTGGAATAAAATAATTTATCATAAAAAGATTATTAAATTTTGCTGGAAAGTGATGGTGCACACGTTTTATCCCAGCACTCAGGAGGGAGAGGCAGGCAGAGCTCTATGAGTTGGAGACCAATTTGATCTACAGAGTGAGTTCCAGGATAGCCAAGGATACACAGACAAACCCTCTCTTGAAATCTCAACCCAAAAAGCTTGTTGGATCATGTTATGTTACACAATGGTTGTTTCTTAGCATATATCATGCATACATTAATTGTCTTGGGGACTTATAAAATTTAAAAGTGACCTATGAACAAATTGAGCCAATTTGCTCTTCTTCCTGCAGCAAATCTCTGGAAGGTAATCTACAATGGCACTCTTCAGGAATTTACGTACGATGGCCTCCTACCAGGCACCACATATAAACTGAGAGTCTTTTGCACTTCACCTGTAGGCAAAAGCCAGGTAAGAAATCAGAAAGGGGAGAGTTCTCAAACTGAGGGTTGAAATAAACTGTTATATTACCGAATGTTTTCTAAAGCTGATCTCCAATTTAGTAAAATATTCTCTATCTCTAGCCTTCTGACATATTGACAATTCAGACACCCACTCTACCTCCTGCGTCTTGTAGCCCACTGCCCTCAAACAGTAAAACCAAGTGCAAGGACACCAAGCTTCTCCTTGGTAAGTGAGGCTTCCTTACATGATTGACAACTGTACCTAAGCTTCTTGTCCTGTTACTTTTGCTTTGAGTGCATGTGGTAACATCAACAAGTAGAGTTTCGTTTTAGTCTGAATTGAATGATTCTTAGCAAACCAAGGCTTGGCAATGGAAACCTAGCTTTTTAATGCCTAAGTCAAATCATGAGGTTAATTGAAACTATAAGTTTGACGTCTATAAGCATTTTAAGAGAGAAATCTTAACTTAAAGAAACATTCCTAAAAACTAGAGACTTGGTATGGAGCTAAAGAATAGTGTATGTGTTTAGCATAAACAAGAGTGAGTTCAAACACTAGTACATAAATAACTAATTTGGGGAGGGGAGAACTGAGTGCATTTTACATATTTTATAGACAATCATTCCGTTAATGGGAACTTGGAAACAGTTGTGCGTGGCAAAAAAGCAAAAGGTCCCTGGAATGACAGAAAGGAGTATCCAGGCTCTGTAAAGAAATGTACAGTAAGTAAATGACTTCCTGAAGAACCAACAGTTTTGGCTAAAAACATAAAATAGGAGAAGAGAAGGTGCACTGCCCAGGTGACCCGCTTGTACTTCAGTTCACTTTGAGTGAATACATGCTTGCACTGTACTTGCCGTCCAGGTAAGGAGTGACCATGCCTGCAAAGTCATGCATGGGTTTGTTTATTTGTATGTTTGATTAATTTGTAGCTTGGATCTCCTTCAATGAAGTGTGAAACTGTACCAGCCCAGCACCCTCCTTCTCAGTGTGGTACACCTGTGCTAACCTGCAAGGGTCCAACCTGTGTTGCTGTCAGTTGGGAGGTATTTCACTAATTCAACTTCTTATTAATTGTGCTGATACACAAACATGCTAATGGGTTAGAACATTTCTGGGGGAAACTTGAAATCTCTAATGAATCATAGATTAGAATTAGGATCCCATAACCCTCAGACTTTGGTTTCTAGAACATACCTAGGACTTGATACCCGTAATATCATGAAGACTACAAAACTGATATTCTGGCTCTTCAGATATCAACTATAAAAAGAGGGATCAAAATGGGTTACTAATTGAGGTTTTAAAGCTAATGCAAGAGACAGCTAAGGTAAATCATTTTATAAAAGTTTAACTTTCTGTGCTGCTGAGGACTGAAGCTGGGGCTGATTTATGCATGCTAGGCAAGTGCTCTACTTCTGAACAATATCCCCAGACCAGAACTTGCTATTCTTTGAAGAA